ATGATGGGAAAATAGATGATACTGAGCATGAAAAAGAGCAGTTTACAAGTGCTACAATACTTTTGGATCGATTTCATTCATGATATTGGGGTTCTATCTAACCGACAATGGTGGTTTAACCAGTGCAATATACTATGCCCCACAATATTCTTATCCTGCCAGCTTCAACGAGCCTAGTTGCCGCACCAATCTGACCATTGACACCTGGATTAGTGCTATCAAGACAGTTTGGGTCCAAACATGTGTGTGTATCAGTTGTTCCAAACCCCGGAAACGTCAACCAAAGGCTGCCCAATTACAGTTCCCCTTAATTTATTCAGGGTGCAAGACTGAGCACTGACTCTTCCAATGAATACAAATGAATACTCGAATGTGCAATTCAGCCATGAATTTTCAGATCATAAAGAAGACAAAAAAGATATCGAATCTAGGTCCCGCAGTGAGATACCAAGAACTCACCGATTATGTGGATTCACTAACCTCCATAACTGCTTACTTGATGGTACCGGCATGCCTCGCTTGAGTTGCGGTGGTGTTGGTCAAGTTCTTGTCGCACAGAGTCATTACTTTGCCGGAGTCTTTGGAAGTTCGAGGAAGTAATGAAAGACGCTTATATTCCGAGGCCAACCGCAACGGTGATGTTTTCTGTAGGGTAACCGGTTTGAAGGTCTCACTGGTGCTAACAGTAATTGGCAGTGGGTGGTAAGGCGTGCCTTTGGATGTTGCCAAGTGAAATTCGTGCGCCTTAAATTCAAAGACTTCGCCTCCCTCACTATCAATCGGACCAAAGCCACTTGAAAGTGGCGCTTTTACAGTCTTGTTGATGTCCACTTGATCAAAATTCATGTGTTCCATAAAAATAATGCTTTACAGTCCGATTTGGCTGGTAAATCCATAAAACTGGTGTGAGCGGATGAAGGTTGGACAAAGATAGTGCCCAGGCAAGATCAGTTGGTTTCCTCCTTTTTTCATCGGACGTACTACCTTAGATCCGAGGGCCACTTAGAAGATAGCACATTGGTGCAAATTTCGTGCCGTAAGCGATGTCAGTATATGCTGAACAGCCAAAAAGGTGTCAAGAATGGAGTGGTTTTGCTTACAGCATGAAGTGCATGCAGGAAAGTACCATTTTCACTGTGATCCCGAATATCGTCTAGTTCATAGGGTTAACCCCGTGCTAAAAGGGCAACGTCGGTTTACCACGGATGGGCCTGAAAATACATGCACCCCATAAGAAAGCAGCCGCACAAAGCGAGCGTACCTTTAATAGACACTACTAATTAGAAGTTTATCTGATTGAACAGGTAGAATATTTTTGAACAACTCAATGTAGGAAAAGGCGAGGCTAACCCAGGCCCTACATCGACTCCTATTTAGTCTGCTTCAACGACTTGCTGTCACTTCTCCCGAGGTTTCTACTATATATGGACGCGATGCAGGTGAAAACGTTCCGCACCTTCGAGCTCTAGCAATCCTGTCTTATTCCTCTTTCTTCCTAAATTCTATTCTCAAGCTGCAGCTGATCCGAATGCTGTCTGTTGTCCGGGTCTTCCTGTTATCCGCGTAGGTCTCTGGATGAACTGAAGAGGTCCGTGATTCCACATCGGTCCAATCCTCCCTGCGTTCTCCTCTAGGAAAAACTAAAGACCGAGGACACCGTTATCCTAATCAAAACACCCCTGACACGGCGTTTGTTACAGAGCTAAAGGAAAACCAAAGTATATAGGTATAAGGACAGCAAGAAAATATGGTACAATGACTGGTGGGTATCTGCCACCACTTTTCCACTATAACTCTCTTAGGAACTTCGTTAAAGACAAGAGCGGGCTGTTTATTTTAACCCAACGGCAACCTGAGCGAGTTATTTCTTCTCGTTTACTGGACCCTTCCCCGAAACATGACGTCCATTCGAGGGCTGCCAGGAAACCGAAGGAAGCCAATGCAGTGATGGCACATGGCTGCCGCACTCATTTCAATAGTGCATCATCATCTGTTCTGTTCATACTCTGTAATGCCTACTCTCATTCTGTCGTAACTCTGGCTGAAAATGCAAACCCAAAACTTAGCTGANACGGCGTAGTGCCAGGCCCCTTCATTGTAGGCAAGTGCCAGTATTTTCACCAAAATATTATGCGAAACAGACTGCTTCTATAATCAAGTAAAGGAGGTACACAAGATTCCGCAAGATAACATCGTAACCGCATTGATACTAAAGGTACCAATCCGATGGGAGAAAATTTCCTACCTTTGCTGAGTCACAAAAGACTGCTGGGTAGCGCAACAGCATCAGCGGGTCGAAGGTATCGGTAGGCATCAACCTGCGTAAAAGCGATTTTCCACGAGAAGAAATTTCGCCGCAAAGTACATAGTAGGGCGCTAGAACAAGGGCATCGGCGTCGTATATACGTCCACGTTAACCAACTGGCACCCACAAAGAGGAGTTCACCGAACCACCGATACCAAACCAGCTTCAGATTTTGCATCAGGGAGAAGTTTTGAAGGATGTCATCAAAACTGCTTTCAGGAGGGAGGATGTAAGTGAGCAGTGGAATATAAGCGTAGGACATCGCATATCGCTCAACGTGACTGAGTTAATGGTACTAGATTTCTGACCTACGTGCTCAGCTAACTACGGTTTTCTTTTGATGAGTTGCATATAAATACAGACGACAACTGCAATCAAACACGACTTAATTTGCCGATATTTTTGGATCGTTTTTGATTCATGATACTGGGGTTCTATCTAACCGATAATGGTGGTTTAACCACTGGAATATTCTATGCCCCACACTATTCTTATCTAACCAGCTTCAGCGAGCCCAGTTGCCGCGCCAATCTGACCGTTGACACCTGGGTTAGTGCTATCAAGACAGTTCGGGACCAAACATGTGTGCGTATCAGTTGTTCCAAACTCTGGAAACGTCAACCAAAGGCTGCCCAATTACAGTTCCCCTTAATTTATTCAGGGTGCAAGACTGAGCACTGACTCTTCCAATGAATACAAATGAATACTCGAATGTGCAATTCAGCCATGAATTTTCAGATCATAAAGAAGACAAAAAAGATATCGAATCTAAGTCCTGCAGTGAGATACCAGAAACTCACCGATTATGTGGATTCACTAACCTCCATAACTGCTTACTTGATGGTACCGGCATGCCTCGCTTGAGTTGCGGTGGTGTTGGTCAAACTCTTGTCGCACAGAGTCATTATTTTGCTGGAGTCTTTGGGAGTTCGAGGAAGTAATGACAGACGCTTATATCCCGAGGCCAACCGCAGCGGTAAGGTTTTCTGTAGGGTAACCGCTTTGAAGATCTCACTGGTGCTAACAGTAATTGGCATTGGGCGGTAAGGCGTGCCTTTGGATGCTGCCAAGTGAAATTCGTGCACTTTAAATCCAAAGACTTTGCCTCCCTCACAATCAATCGGACCAAAGCCACTTGATAGTGGCACTTTTGCAGTCTTGTTGATGTCCACTTGATCAAAATTCATGTGTTCCATAAAAATAACGCTTTACAGTCCGATTTGGCTGGTAAATCCATAAAACTGGTGTGAGCGGATGAAGGCTGCACAAAGATAGTGCCCAGGCAAGACCGGTTGGTTTCCTTCTTTTTTCATCGGACGTAATACCTTAGATCCGAGGGCCAATTAGGAGATAGCACATTGGTGCAAATTTCGTCCCGTAAGCAAAGCCAGTATATGCTGAACAGCCAAAAAGGTGTAAAGAATGGAGTGGTTTTGGTTACAGCATGAAGTGCATGCAGAAAAGTAACATTTTCACTGTGGCCCCGAATATCGTCTAGTTCATAGGGTTAACCCCGTGCTGAAAGGGCAACGTCGGTTTACCACGGATGGACCTGAAAATACATGCACCCCATAAGAAAGCAGCCGCACAAGGCTAGCGTACCTTTAGTAGACACTACTAATTAGAAGTTTATCTGATTGAACAGGTAGAATATTTTTGAACAACTCAATGTAGGAAAAGGCGAGGCTAACCCAGGCCCTACATCGACTCCTATTTAGTCTGCTTCAACGACTTGCTGTCACTTCTCCCGAGGTTTCTACTATATATGGACGCGATGCAGGTGAAAACGTTCCGCACCTTCGAGCTCTAGCAATCCTGTCTTATTCCTCTTTCTTCCTAAATTCTATTCTCAAGCTGCAGCTGATCCGAATGCTGTCTGTTGTCCGGGTCTTCCTGTTATCCGCGTAGGTCTCTGGATGAACTGAAGAGGTCCGTGATTCCACATCGGTCCAATCCTCCCTGCGTTCTCCTCTAGGAAAAACTAAAGACCGAGGACACCGTTATCCTAATCAAAACACCCCTGACACGGCGTTTGTTACAGAGCTAAAGGAAAACCAAAGTATATAGGTATAAGGACAGCAAGAAAATATGGTACAATGACTGGTGGGTATCTGCCACCACTTTTCCACTATAACTCTCTTAGGAACTTCGTTAAAGACAAGAGCGGGCTGTTTATTTTAACCCAACGGCAACCTAAGCGAGTTCTTTTTCCTCGTTTACTGGACCCTTCCCCGAAACATGACGTCCATTCGAGGGCTGCCAGGAAACCGAAGGAAGCAAATGCAGTGATGGCACATGGCTGCACAACCCATTTCAATAGTGCATCATCATCTATTCTGTTCGTACCCTGTAATGCCTACTCTCATTCTGTTGTAACTCTGGCTGAAAATGCAAACCCAAAACTTAGCTGACTCCAACAGTATGTGAGGCAAGTTCGTGGTAATTTACTCTGGTCACTGAAACACTGTTACACATCCAGATTTTGGTTCTTTATTCCAGCAATTTCTTGTCACGTGCTGGGCAGGACCCAATAGAGTTACCTCGTCTATTGCGTTGTTGGCCCCTTTTTTGGATTGTAACGGTTTTACCTAGCTTCAGTTTGCTCTGTTCCTACAAGCTGCGAAAAGCTTATTAACTGTGTTTCACCTCCTCAAGTGTCCGTTACGTCTAGATCGTGTCATTTTGGACATGATCTCAAGTACCTATCATTCTGCAGACTCAGTGAGCGGCTGTTCCTGCCGATCTGCATTCTGGTAATCTGGGTGTTGACAAAAAGAAATCCCTTGCACCCTTATCATGCTGGTGGCCGGAGCTGGATGCTGACATCAAATATACTGCTAAGAATTGTGTTAACTATGTACATAAGATCCATAACAAGTCTTCACAGTGGTATCCGTGGCCAGTAACTTGTGAGGCATTTCAGCGAGTTCATACCGACTACTGTGGCCATTTACTCGGTAAATACCAAGCTTTAATTGGTGTTGAAGCGTATTTACGTTGGCGTGGAGTTTTCTAACGAAGTCTCCAAGTGCCGAATTCACATAGCAAGCATTGAGGAAAGTATTGAAGGTGTATCAACTGTTTTGGTCATTGACAACGGCACACACTTCACTGCGAAATTCCTCGAGGAATGGTTAAAAGGTCCTGAATGTCGACATCTGTTTACAGCTCCACGAGATCCCCAGTAAAGTGGGCTTGCTGAGAGTCTTGTCCGAACAATAAAGTCTACAATTATTTCATTCGCCCTTACTACTTCTGTGGAATTGGACTGTAGGATTGATGGTTTTCTAATGCAATACAGGAATGCCGTTCATTCCGTTATTGGGTCCCGCGCTTCTATTTAAATCTCGTTCGTTGCGTACAAGTCTTGACTGTGCCAAAACAGCTAATGCTACATTTTTCAAGGGTAATGAATTACGACCTGCTACAGGAATAGTACATTCATCCAATGGCAAACGGATGGTCACAATTCTCGATTTGGATGATCTCGCTTGCCACCGTAGGCACATTCACCAGGTTGAGTTCAATACAAGAGGTCAGTCTGTTAACGGCACTCTTGCTGTTTCAAATACTAATGAATCCTTTGTAGATGATCTTATGGTATCCGAACAGAACGTTGTATCTGAAGAATGCACTACTTGTGAAGAGTCTGAAGTTTCCATTCCGAGAAGATCCGAAAGATTGCGGTCAAGACCACCACTGGACTATAAACATTCACGCTCTCATTCAAGGTGTGGCGGATTAGATGAACATGACTAATACTCTATTCACTGCTCTATTCATTATTCTCTTGTTTTACTATTCTATATGCTGCACGTACACGCCAATTCGAATACATACGTGCTACTTGTTACGCTGCGCTGAATTTTGTATTTCTAATTCGTCTGGTTATACTGATATACGTGCGGGACTTAATTCTCACAGTAACATTTGATGACTTAGTAGGTCTCCCTGAAATATAAACCGCGAAAACAAAATCAAAGTTTCCCGAAAGCTCACACAATGGAACAATAATTTCAATTATGTGAGCGCGGTAATTGTGACTGTTAAAGCAGACAGTAATATTTGATGACTTAGTGGGTCTCCCTGAAATATAAACCGCGGAAACAAACTCAAAGTTTCCCAAAAGCTCACACAATGGAACAATAATTTCACTCAATAATATGAGCGCGGTAATTGTGACTGTTAAAGCAGCTGATGTTGGCCCATGTTAACGTGACCCCATAAAATCATGTGTAAAAGTGGCGGATTCTAATGGTATTTCTTTCGCTATAAAAACTACTGATTCAATGGGTATAAGTTCGTCCGGACCACTCTAGGAATCCCAACAAGATATTTAGTTTTTGGACAGACGAGTAAGCTCAAAACCGACCAGCAGTTCCAGCACTTACGAATTGACTGATTTCACAAATCTGGCTACAGGTTTTTTATTAATCACTTCACAAACGGCCTACACATAAATAGATTGGTGTTTATTCCGTACATCGATACACAATTTTTCCAACAATTTATGAAAAATATCCTGAGTGCGTTTGCGTATGTGTGCCCATGTGCGCTCTGATTGTAAAAAAACAATCCAACTGCGATTAGGCGAACTATGTTCTTCGTCTCACCAGTGTGTCAGTAATTCGGAAACAGTTCATACCAGTACTTATCAAATAAACAGACTGTCACCTACTTGTGATGAATAAACAGTCTTTTATCACGTGGTTGGTATGATCACACGGTTCCTTCGTCCTTATTTTGTAAGGGTTCGAATGTGCTCAGCTGGAACTCATAGCAAAGCTAGACTGATGTTGGTTACTGTTCCAGTATACGGTTCAAAATCAGAGGTGGTCCGGAATCTCGCTCAGATTCCTTAAGTTGTACATGTGTCTCCATGATTTCAAGCACTTACAGTCTGTCACCCCAGCCGTTTAGTTGTTTACCTGATCGACAAATTGCAGAGAATGTGGTGGTTACGTTGATTGACAGAGGGTGAATTTTTATTTCCGTTTACTAAAAATAGCTGAGACGGTTACCTGACGTTGCGGAAAATCATAGAAGATTAGTGTCCCAATTTATTTGTTTGAGTTCAGGCATACGTGCCTGGATTTCATATTCAACCTTTCAAAACGAGAAAGGGTACAGCCTCTGCCTAAATTACACTAGATGTAGTTACACTGTTACTTTTGAAGCCCGTATGATCTGAGTCTATTGCGATAAACTTAGTTTTACCCATATCACAATGCAAAGGAAGAAAATGACGGGTGAACTCCGAATGCGCCCTTTAGTTAACATTCGTAAGTATATTGACGTGGGTTGAGAATCATACGCTCAGAATCGCAGATACTGTAAGTAGCTTCGAGTAGCCACAACTTGCTCGGAATGAAGAATAATTCACAAGTTGAGTGAAAATTTCATCTGAGAGATCATTACTCGAATAGGTAGTCAATACATGTTTTGGATTTCGTGATTGGAGAATAAGTCGTAGAACATCCTGTCTAAGCGTGCTTCATTCACACGCCCAGCAACCGCCCATGTTTCTAACTACTAACTGGGAGGTCGCATTTTCGAAACTCTCAGGGAATCTGTGAGTTGCGCACTGCTGCTGGTGATTTCCAATGAGGATAAAACGGATAAAAAAAACAGTGTTTTTCGGCTCTTTAGCATAGATTAGATCCACGTACAGGAAGAAATCTTGGTTGAAGACTTGTGTTATAACATTAAGACACATTTCCCTACTCACGTGAGCAGGGCTGAAACTTACCAGGTTTTCTTGGTTACCGTCACTGAGATAAACAAAACTCCAGCTTTGGACACAGCGACTTTCAGAAAGAGGACTGGTTATTTACTTCAGAAGATTCGATCTGTTAAAACAAAGGCCAAAAACATTAAATATTCGACTTTAAAAACCATGAAAATTGGTTCAGCCAAACTCACACAAAACCAGTGTAAATTCTGGAATGAACCTTTTACCATGGCGGATATTATAAACGTGTCTTTATCATCCAAGGCTTCCACTGGCCAGTCGCACGAGATTCTTCATGCTCATCAACGCCCTAAATGCTCGGGCTCACCAGAGGACGTATTTTATCAATAATTGCAACGTATTCTCTTATCACTTCGGTGAATATTATCCTGAATTCTGCCAGCTGGTCAAAAATACCTGGCTAATTTAGTTGGCCTGCGTCTGTGTTTTTAGTTT